GTTGGTGCAGATCTGAATCATGGATCCTCATGGCTTCTCCAATCATTGGGGGTATCCACCACCATCCGAGTGGTATTACCCCGAGACCCCCTGGAGCAATCAAGGAGGAGAAGACTATGGATTCGGGTTTCAGTACCAACCCCCATCCTACGAAGAACAATCAGACCCCTGGGTATTTCAAGAACAATCTCCTTATCAAGAAGAATTCCTCCATCAGCCAGATCCAAACTATCACTTGAGGCTTCTCGTGGAGCAGATTGCTCGAGTACCTGAGACTTCCTTTCCAAAGATGGATATCCCAGACAATGCCCAAACTGGGTTCTCCTACCGTGAAACAGAGGAGACCCTCCTGAGCATAAAGAAGAGCCTCGAGGATCTTGAGAAAGCTTATGCACAACCTGCTCAAGATCACCCTTCTGCTATCATACTAGAAGAGGAGGAGGAAGTAGAAGGCTACAAGGACATTGTGGAGCAAACAGAAGTTATCACGGAGAGCTCCCGTGAAGATCATGATCAAGAATGTCATGTCGTAGCCGACCACCCCTTCCCACATCCCACACCAAGCTTTGAAGAGGTGGGCATGAGTGAGGAGATGCAAGAAGATCTCATGAAAGAAATTGCTTGGCAACTTGCTCTCCAATCCGTGCTAGAAGAAGAAGAGCAAGAAAGGGTGCAGAAAGAAGTTGTGGAGGATGACGAAAGTGAAGCAGGAGGAGTTCTTGATCATTTCCCAGAGGTGATACCACATGTAGAAGAAAGGGAGGCTGAAGAAGAAATTGGCGTCCAGGCTGAGGACGGAGTTGAGGTGGAAGAGGCCTGCACCGGCCACGAGTTACATGTGATATCTCCACCAAACTTCGAGGAGCTTCTTGGCAAGGACCCATTTGCAGTGTCTCTTTGCCAGACCAAGGCCACATCGACATCGGTCCCTCTTGGTGGACGCGATGGTGGCCAATCGATGCTGTCATATCTGGTTTGGGGCAATGAGACAAGAGAAGAGAAGAAGAGGTCTCGCGGGTGGAGACTTCATCTGCATCAAGTACATGAGCCTTCATCACCCGCCACACCACATGCTCGTGACTTGAGACTCCACCTCATCGACGAGAACCTCAACTTCAAGGAGGTTCTAGCATGGACCGAAACTTAGGAGCCATCGTCCGGCTCACGACGTGAAAGAAGCGCTTGTTGGGAGGCAACCCAACCAGTCGGTTTTCATTTCTTTCTCTATTTCTCCTCGGTTGAGTCAGTTTTGTTATTTGATTTTAGAGTCCATAACTCTACCTTTGTGAGATTTTGTGTGGTGTTTGTGTTTCGACTACTCTCTCCTCATGGAATGCACCGCCTGCCTCGTCCACCGCCATTCACCCTTGATCTGGTAACTTCGTTCTCCCCTCCTTATCTTTCCTCCATTGAGGACAATGTCGTGCTTAAGTGTGGGGGGGTGTTCGATTATGTATGCGGGTGAATGTTTGGCTGTTTGTGTGCTTGGAGCCTAGTCCACTGTCCAAATTTCGATTTGAGGGCTCCAAGTACGTGTTTCCATGCAAATTGCCTGCTCAGTATGCTTTGAATTGACAGTCTCTATAGTAATGTGCAACCTAGGGAGGTAGTGTAGCACTATGGAGGATGTTGAAGTATAAGATTTTTCCTATCTAGCTCTCTGTTGTGTCAGTTGATTTTGTGAATTAGTGGAGCTAAGACCGTTGAATTCATGTGGTAATGGTGACTCTGTTTGGATTGGGTTATGGACTTGTGTATCGAACAGGGTGCTCATGTGAAAAATGAAAAGCAGTTGGTCCTCCATGTCAAAATCATAAAATCTTAAACATGGGGTAAGCCCAACGTGTGTGGCACCGTTCATTGCACAAAATCGGGTTTTGGAAGAGATTTTAGTGATCCTTAGTGGGGTACTCCTACAAGGTGAAGCTAAGCTGTCTCTAGTACAAGTAAAATCTTCACCCGTTGAACGGTTTGCCTACTTGAGGATGTGTTTTTAAGGGCACGGATAGAGCTTCCGACCCCCCTTAATTTCATTGACCCTCCACACGAGTTGAGGAAAAGGAGTTAAAAGAAGTACTCTGGCGAGCGCCAGATGTACAGAAATTGCTCTTGCTCGACTAATAAGGGTCGACCGTGCAAAAGACTGCAGTTGGAACCCCACCAAATGAAAGAAAAAAAAAATGTAAATGAAAGTGAGAAAAAGGGGTTCCAACGGTGAAATGAAGTGAAAGAGCACCCCGGTACAACGAGTCCTTGGTTGTTAATGGTGTGAGTCCCTTTATCCATGAACTGACTGTCTTGCTTCTACTTCTTCTCATGATCCTGGCTTGAGTCTAGTACTCGCATTGAGAGAGATAGGGAACGTCTTAGAAGACCAGTTGACCTCGTAAGCTGCTATATGATCTAGGAAATCCTCTACCGACGATCGAGGTTGTATGTTGATATAGAGGTCTGGAGAGCTGCATTGGTTTGAGTTAGGTTTGCTTGGGGACAAGCAAACGGTTAAGTGTGGGGGAGTTTGATAGACCGATAATTACACATGTTTTTACCCCTGTTCTTACACCGTTTGAGATGTGATTTCTCGTGTTTTAGGCCGATTTCACGCTAGGTTGTGCTTGTTTGTGATATTTCAGGTCCTAGTACGTGAATGGAGGCTTGGGAGCAAGTTTCGGGTCAATCAGAGATCAATTGACGATTCGGGAGAAGAAACTCGGGTAAGACCTGAAGAAGAATGGATTTCTACCTCACTTTATGGAAAAAGAATCATGCAAGCTTGTCATGAAAAGAAAGAGGACGAGACTACGAGCGTCTGGGTTCAAACGGCGACTGATTTGGAGTCCGGACGAGGGAGAAACGAAGCTTTGAACAGAAGCACAGAGAGAATTACGGGCAGCCCCTGCCTAATTACGGCCGTAATTGGCCAGGGCATGCCCGTAATTTATTGGCCGAGCCTTCTACCCAGAATTCCCTCGCGGTGATAAAATTACGGGCAAGACCCCAAGAATTACGGCCGTAATTCCCAAATTACTGGCGGTAATTGGGAAATTACGGGCGTAACTTCTCCTCCTGCAGCTTAAGTGAAACGCGCGTTTTGGTGCGAATTACGGGCAGGACGTGATTACGGCCGTAATTCTGCCCGTAATTCGCCCAGAGTCGGGTTTTTGAAGGCAGATTCGAGCAACAGAAGAGGGGAGCTGGGTTTTGGATCCCAAACACCCAAGGGACGAACCCTAGAGAGAGAGAGCGACTTGGAGACATTCTTGGAGCTATTTTGGAGGATTTCTTCGCCATTGGAGCTCGGGAATCAAGCTTGGAGATGGAGATTGAAGATCTAGATCAGATTTCTGCAGTCTCTCTCTTCTCTATGGAGTAACTTCCCTTCACTTAGGTTTTGAGGAACCCTAGTTTCATGAGCTAGGATCTTTCTTGTATGAAGTTTTGGATGCTATATTGTTTGATTATAATCGAATGATGCATGTTTGTTGAGTCAATTGAAGTCTGATCAACTTTTCCTGATTTCTGCTGCAACCTGAGATAGATAGAATCTGATTAGGTTGCTAGAGCCTCATCATTCGATAGTAGGAGATTGGCTATACGAGAGTTAGCCAGTTTACTGCTTTGTACTGGAATCTAATTCCAGTAGTGGAGTTCTGTTCTTACTGCTTCAGCTTTCTACCCCGGTGAAGGTTAGTCGCCTGCCGGGTAGTTAGACTGAGAGGGCTTGGTCAGCTTAAGAGATTCCAAGCTACTGTCGGATCTTCCGCAGTGTAATCAACAGTAAAACAACCAAAAGGAATTACAACTTGGACCTAATTGAGGGGCTAGGGGGAATCATACCTAAGTGAGTTCCCAAACTGTAATTAGTAGTTTTACTTAGTTTAGTTAGTAGAGTAGTTTAGTTGATCAATCCTTAATCTAGTTTGCTAGATAATGAACTGAAGCTGAGTAATAGTAACTCTAGAGACCCGTGGATTCGATATTTTTTACTTGTGCCACTATACTGCAGTCCCATTCTGCGATTACACTTGGTCGCAGTTTGGTGTTGTGTTTTAGCGTGTCAGCAACACCCCCACAACGCCCTAAATCGGTACTACTTAAGTTTGATAAGTTTATATGAGTTGGGTGTGTTTTTAGTAATATTTTGTAATTTTAGGTCCCACTGGACCATTTAATGATTTTATCGTATTAGTTGAAATTTAATTATACGTCCACTGACGTAAATTTAAATATGAAGTTGGTTGGTTAGTTGGACTCGAACCTTATCGGTTGCCTACGTACCCGTAATACGGGATCAAAGTCCACGTAGTTCGTTTGTATGACTTTGATAATTTTGAATATAATTTATACCACGTTCCACTGAACGTAATTCTCGTATTATAATTTTCGTTAATAAAATTTAAACTAATTATTATGGAAAGAGAATATAAGAATTTAAGTTACTAGGAAGTATTAAGACGCTAAGGGGAAAAGAAACGAGATAAACTTAATCCGCATTCAACATTTCGTATTAAGAATTTTAGAACGAATAAATATGAATGAGATGATTACACTTTCGCATAAGGGCCCAGCAGCCCAACCGGTTAAGGCGTCGGACACATATGCGGATATGCCGTGAGACCCGAGTTCGAATCTCGGTCGACTCTGAGTTCGGTGTTCTGTTTTTCATATTGCAGGGATAGGGGAAGGGTATTTTGGTAAATGGACAAAAACGCGGTGGCATGGGCGTGTAATATCAGCGAAACCCTAGGGGCAATTTGGACATTTGGAAACATATATAAATGTCTTAAACGAGAAAGGAAACCCTAATCTTCTCTAGTTTGACCGCCGCTAGCCTACTCTCTTGCCTCTCTCACTCGTTTTTGCTTCCCCAACCCAGAAACCCTCTGGTTTCTCATCCCACAATCGCCGCCATCTCTCTTCTCCCCTCTCTCCTCTCACTCTCGCTTTTATCCCGATCCTTCTCTCCTCTTCTCTCCGCCTCCTCTGAGACGAGAAGAAAGAAAAAAACAATACACTTCCTCTTCTATTTCCAGAAAAACGAATCACTAACCCTCTCCTCTACGCCGCCGTCCTCTCCTCTCGGCTAGCCAAGGAGACCGCTCGTATCGAGCTAAATCAACCTACAAGGTTTCGATCTAGGTAAGATCCTAGACATGCATGTTCTTTTCGATTTGTTTTTAGGTGATTTTTATTGGGATTCGGCTAATTTTCTTTCGTTTTCCTCTTCTTTTTTTTTTGGAAATCGACTCGAACCGAGGCGGGACTCTCGCCTGTTCGCCTAGTATCTCAACCCGACCTTCCTCACCAAAACGAAGGCGACGAGGGGTGACTCTTACCCTCTGGTAAGATTTTTCTACATGCATGTTCTTTTCGATTCGATTTATGCATTAGATAGAGATTTAACCTGTTTGAGCTTTGGTGTTTTTTTTATTGTCTATGTTTCGGATCTCTGCCGAGAGAAGGAAGGGAGAGGCGGCGGTGGCCGGCGGCGCGGCCTGCGCCAGAGCCGGCAGCGAGGGTTAAACCTAAGTAGGTTTTTTTGTGGTTTAATCCCTTTTGCTATTTTGTTTTTTTTTTATTTGAGGTTCTGATTTCTACTTTTCTGCTCTTTGGTAGGTTTTGGGAGTGGACAGATTTGGGTAAGGACGTCCTGAACTCGGGTTAAAGTGATTATGGAACTTGAACTAAAAAAAATGATAAATTGCGAGTTTGAAATCGGTTTATAGATCTGTGATTTTATATATGTTATGTGTTTGATGATCTCGAATTTTTTATGCTTGGTGGTTTGGTGGGTGGTTTTAGAAGGAACTCATGACATGCTAGAATTTGCTAAGAAAATAATTTCCTGTAATGGGAAAGTAATTAACATGCTCTAAAATTGGTATTTTTGGTAATTATAATTACAAATCACTGCCTCGGCTTTTGATTTTGCAACGGTTTGAAATCTGAAATTTTATCATATTTAGGGAGTTTTTGTTGTGTCTAGATCTGGATTGCCCCCGTGGACTTCTAATAAGTGGTTTTTGCTTGTTTCTAAAGACCTCTGTCTATTTGAACTCTATTCCCATATTTTGTCATGCATATGATAATCGACTATTGGCTAGCTATTTGCTTGCAAGGAAATGGAAAGCATAACATAACTTTAAAATAGTCTATGAATTTATAAGAGAAGTAAATAAATGCTCAATTGAAAGAAGCTTAATGCCGAATTGGAATTGCTATTGCTATGAATGCTTAAGACAAGTAAATACAGTTTTTGAACGTAAAGAGTGCTTCAATGCAGAAGGGTTTGTAAATTAAATTGCTTCAATACAAGTTGATGGATATTATAACTGTATAATGATCAAGACTGGATGAAACGAGATGAAATGCTATCTATCAACATTAAAGCAGAGTCAAAAGTTCCAACCTTATTGTGATTTCTGCTCCAAGAACACTTCCTTGTGCTCCACCCTTCAGATCTGGGCTCCGTTTGTTGTTGTAATGAAAAGATTAGTGTTTTCAGAATTTTCTGTATCACTCTCTTTTTCTCCTTCGTCCCCCCTCAACAGAGAGCCCAACGAGCTCATTTAATAGCAAAAGTATCCGCCATGTGTCACATGATCATTTGTCGTTGCTGTAGCTGAAACTAGCGTGCTTCCTTCTGATTGGTCGAATCGTAAGGCTGAATCTTAACCCTCCACCTGCAAAGTCGGTTGCTGAGTGGCTGTGTTGGAGAGCTCCACCTTGCTTGGTCGGTTCTGACTAGTCAGGGTGTGGATAGGGATGGCATATGATTTCGGGCCGAGTTGGCCGAAATGGGCCAGAGTTGTTTGCGATCTGGTATTCGTCTGGGCTCGAAATGGGCTTGATCCAGTGGGCCAAACTGGGCTCTGATTCTCGGGCCTGATTTATGGGCTTGAGCTTGTTGACTTTGAATTCTAGCTTGGGCCTGTCTTGACTGATTTTCTCTAATTTTGCAGGTTGCTTTTGCTGGTCTGGGCCTTCAAGTGGTGGACCAAGCTTGATTCTTCACTTGTAGATAGGAAATGTTTTTTTCTTTCCAATTTGTATTTGAGGATTGTTTGTGTAAATTGAAATTACATTTGATAATTGTGACGATCTTCTCATTTGACATTGATATTCTTCTTGACTTTATTATCGAACATTTAATAGATCCTCTAACACGAACCCCAAACCATGAATAAACCATGTCCCTTCTCGATTTGGCCTCATGAAACAAGTTTACTGTATATAAGTTTGATAAGTTTGATGTTTCTATGATAGATATCAGACCGGACAAAATGTGGTGTCTACAAGAATGATATCACGATCCAGCCACGGGTGGTTCCAGAAGATAGTAGTTCTTCCATTTCTAATGCTCCAGCAGGTGGCACTCTTCATGAGGGGCATTGCCTTCACAATAGCTTTCCACCGTGAGGAGTGATTTCTCCTTTTCATTGCCACAATCTGTCCATCGACATGTTTGAAGTACTTTCCTTACATCACCTGCACCCAAAGGTCAAAGCCATTATTAAGAATTTGCCAGGAAAGCTTTATCATGAAAGCCATATTCAAGCTCCTAGCAGTTCTTAATCCTAGTCCCCCTTGGTTCTTAAGTTTACACACTTTCTCCCAGGACACCATGTGAACTTTCTTTTTATCTTCATTAGAGCCCCAAATAAACCATCTTATTTTTTTATCGATAAAGTCACAAATAGAGCCATGGAGCAAGGTAGTTTGCATGGCATAAGATGGAATGGCATTTAGCACAGAAAGGGTGAGGGTCACTCTTCCAGCTAAAGAGAGGGTTCTGGCTTTCCACGAAGATAGTTTCTGGTCAATTTTATCAATGATGTACCTATAAGTGTTTCTATTTATCCTCCCATGGATAACATGAACACCTAGGTATTTTCCTAAGTCTAAGGTGGACTGAATGCCTAATCTATCACAAATGTTCTTCTTATCCCTATCCTTAGTGTTCTTAGAGAAGAAGATCTTGGATTTTTCCTTGCTTACAAGCTCTCCTGAAATCAAGCAGAATCTCTCCACACATTTGTTGATGACATCAGCTTGTTTCAGGGAAGCTTCAGCAAAGAGTACCAGGTCATCCACGAAGAAAAGGTGAGACAGAGGAGGCCCTCCAGGAGAAAGTCTCAAGGGGTTCCACTTATGCTCTCTAACTTCTTCTAGGATGCATTGTCCTAATCTCTCAACACATAAAATAAAAGGTAAGGGGAGAGTGGACATCCCTGCATGAGCCCTCTGCTTGGCTTGAAGCTCTGGGTTTCTCCACCTTCCCACATGACTTGCATTTCCACCATAGTTATACACTTCATGATTATCTTGATCATGTTGTGAGGGACTCCCACCAAGGTAAGAGTTTCCTCGAGGAAATCCTAATCCAACCTATCGTATGCTTTTGCCAGGTCCAGCTTGAGCAGCATAATTCCTTTCTTCCCATTCTTTCTTGCCATCGAGTGCCCAGTCTCTTGCAAAATAAGGATATTGTCAGTAATATGTAGGGCTTCAAACGAGCCGAGTCGAGTCGAGTCGAGTTTTTGCTTAGCTTGAGCTCGGCTCGTTTATAAATTTTTTAGCTCGAGCTCGGCTCGAACTCGAATTTTGATCATCCAGCTCGAGCTCGAGCTCGACTCGATTAAAAATAATCCAACTCAAGCTCGGCTCGATAGAGCTCGGTAAATGCTCATTAACACAGCTTGTCAAGCTGAGTACAAGCTCGGCTCAAGATAAGCTCGATTTGAAACCATTCTTGCTGAAAAATGTGTACATATAAGAACATTAGAAATTAAAAATGATAAAAAGAACACTAGAAACTAAAAATAACATCTAACTTCCATACACATCCTTATTAACAAGATCATTTTCATGTTCAGAAGAGTAATTAATCCTTCCACAAGCTTTAAACAAGCCAGCTCGCGAGCTTAGCTCAACAAGCCACCGAGTCAAGCTAGCTCACGAGCTTATCAAGCCGAGCATGGCATAGCTCAAGCTTGGCTCGTTTACTAACGAGCCGGCTCGCGAGTCGGCTTGTTAAATAATGAGTCGAGTGTCGAACGAGTTTTTTCCGATTCGAACGCCGAGTTGCTCGCGAGCGGCTTGGCTCATTTGCAGCCCTAGTAATATGTCAATTTGGGATAAAACTAGAATGGTTATGTTTAACCAAGTGGGGCATTAAATGCTGAAACTTGTTTGCTGTAACACCCTTACTTTACATTACAAAACGAAACAGTAAAATACATCGAGTTTAAACATTCTCAGGCCTGAGCTTTATATATATATATATTTTTTTCAAACATCAAACCATAATTTACATTTGCATCAGAGTCAAAACAGAAAATCGGGGAAGTCCACTTTATTACGAAATCGATACAACATAAAATATTTAAGGAGTTCGGAGTCCTCCGCCCACCTCGTGGCTTCCCTTCAAGCTTGAGTCCCAATACCTACAGTACACACCTTACTTCTGCTCTTGATCTGAGGAAAAATGGTGACGAAGGATGAGTCGTCGCTCAGTGAATAAATTCTAAGCTCAGATCGACATCAATACAAAAACAGTATTGGGTTGAAACACCCTAGCACATAACAGGACTTAAGTTGTTTATCACACTTTTCATTCCACTGAATCGATCAAGTACACATGTTCACATTAGGGGTGGGCAACCGGTTCGGTAAACCCGAACCGAACCGAACCGAAACCGAATTAAACCGAACCGAAACCGAATTAATGCTATTCGGTTCGGAATTCGGAAGGAAAATATGGCTAGTTCGGAAACCAGGGTTCTCTCAACCGAACCGAATTTCCGAATATCCGACCGAAAAACCGAAATACTATAATTGCAAGCTCCAAATGGTGGATTTTTATGTTTGTTGTTGTTTTTAGACTTAAATATTTGAATTGTTTTATGACTTATGTGTTGAAAAGTTTCATTTTATCATTGATGATGCATATAATTACATATTTATTGTTTATATTAGGGGTAAAAATAATTTAAAAGTGAGAAGATACAAGTATTTTTAACAAATCCGGTTATGTGTGAAAAACCGAACCGAACCGAATTATAATTCGGTTTAAACCGACCGAACCGAATTATAATTCGGTTCGAATTCGGTTTGACGTTTGGGAGAATTCGGGGACCCGGTATTCATGATTTCGGTTCGGTCGAAACCGAACCGACCGAATACCCACCCCTAGTTCACATCCCGTCTCAGTCAAAACATATAAAACAGATGACAGACAGAGAAATTTTGCTTATACAATTTCACTTTCAAATTTGCTAAATGATATCCTCCCCGGGTAGTACAGTAGTGGAAGGCTGCAGGGTAACCATGTACAGCCATCATATAACTGGAGTACCGCGGGACACAACCCAGTCCGGTACGAACAGGAGTGCACAAGGCACGAAACAGGAGTGCTCGCACCAACATGACTATCGCGGGTCGCAACCTAGACCGATACAAAACAGGAGTCGCCACGGGATTACCCTAGCCCGGCTAACTGAACAGAACAACAGTATCGTGGGTCGTCACCCAATCGGCACGGTGCGGAGCACGAGTGCTTAAACAGGAGTATCGTGGGGTTTACCCATATCTATACAAACAGGACACACTACTGTACCGAGGTATCATGTAGCCCTTTTACTTATTCTTATGTATTCACCTCTTTTCAGTAACAGTTCATTTAGATACATGTCAATAATCATTAACTCGTAGGCTCACTTATACACTATATGCTCAGAAGCATTTATAGCACTTTTGCACCCTCAGTCACAGCAGAATGGAATGTAAGCTGAGGAGCTTACTCCAAGTTATTCAAGCAGAACAAGATTAGTAAGCCTAATGGCTTACTCCAAATCTAAGAAAACAAGACGGGTTCGCAAGTTCAACTACTTACTCATAATCCACACAATAAATCAACAAAACCAACACATATGACAATTTCATTCCACTTCATGATCACTCAACCATTTTCATCATTAGATCACATAACCCTGCTAATTCTACAAAATGTCAGTTGCAGAGGCAACAATGATTTGTAGAGACACAGTAGAAATTTGCAGAGGTATACACAAGATCAACCAACAAAATGTCTTTCCATATCTCATCCACAATTCATGCATTTCCAACTTCATACCAAATGCAGATGATGAATATACAGCACTAAGCCATCTTGGCTTTACCGAATTTAAGAACCTATATCGTTTAACTCACAATACAGACAATTATGGTCGCTAAAGTAACCATATCACATAGCGATATCATTTTCCATAAATTCACATATTATACCGGAGCCGCTTCATGACCCCGATATGTATTCGAGCCGCTTCATGATCCGAATATTGTTATTATGTTGAATAAGATCTAATATTAGAATCTACCCACAGTTTTGTCTTCACTCGGCTATGCCATTGCCTTTGGATGAGCCCCCGGCTTGCTCCTTACCTTTATATACAAAATTTTCAGGTTATTCAAGCACCAAGATACGTATAAAGTCATCATAATCATGGTTGTGTTCATGCATGTCGATAAGGTCACTAGAAAATTCGTACGGCCGTACAAATCGATCCCCAAGCCGTACAATTTCAAGGTTTCCCTAGAATCTCGTACGGCCATATGGCCTTTTCGCACGGCCGTACCACTTTACCCTGCTTCACCATTTTGGTAATTTCTCCCTTGATACTTAACCAAATCAGTTGATTCTTGTTGATACTGAAACTAGATTCACAGGGATACAACATAAATAAATTTCAGACCATTTGGATCAGCCGTTTGAGCCCGACAATCATTTTAAGTTGACGTTTCAAAACTGTCAGCTACTTTCTTTTCACTTCAAATCCAACTCCCCTACTTCTAACAATTGTTCCTGATCACTCCAAAATAAAAAATACGTTCCGAACGGTCAATTCGAAGAACCCAATATACTTAACATTATGCCAAATTTCTAGAACGATCCAACGACTGATTCGCACAGGATCTTACCTCTAATCTGCTGTCCTGCTACAGGAAAAACAGTGTCGCACCCCTTCTGTCCAGCAACATTCCTCGATGTACCAGAGATCATAACGATGATCCTAACGGTCCAATAGTAGACAAGGAAGTATGGAATACAACCTCCAAATCTTAGGACGATCACTCTCTCCCGCGTCCCTCTCTTGCTCTCTTTCTCCAACCTGGTTTCACCACCCAAAAACCACCATCCCCATTTTCAGAAACAAGGAGTAGAGAGATAGAAAGATATAATCATGAAGTGGAATGGAATTATCATATGTGTTGGTTTTGTTGATTTATTGTGTGAATTATAAGTAAGTAGTAGAACTTGCAAACCCGTCTTGTTTGCTTAAATTTGAAGTAAGCCATTAGGCTTACTAATCCTGTTCTGCTTGAATAACTCGGCGTAAGCTCCTCAGCTTACATTCCATTCTGCTGTGACTAAGGATGCAAAAGCGCTATAAATGCTTCTGAGCATATACTGTATAAGTGAGCCTATGGGTTAATGATTATTGGCATGTGTCTAAATGAACTATTAATGAAAAGAGGTGAATACATAAGAATAAGTAAAAGGGCTACATGATATCTCGGTACAGTAGTCTGTCCTGCTTGTATCGATATGGGTAAACCCCACGATACTCCTATTTTAGTGCTCATGCTCCGCATAGTGTCGATTGGGTGACGACCCACGGTACTCTTGTTCTGTTCAGTTAGCCGGACTGGGGTAATCCCGTGGCGAATCTTGTTTTGTATCGGTCTGGGTTGCGTCCCGCGATACTCATGTTGGTGCAAGCACTCTTGTTCGTACCGAACTGGGTTGTGTCCCGCGGTACTCCATTTATATGATGGCTGTACATGGTTACCCTGCAGCTTCCACTAATGTACTACCCAGGGAGGATATCATTTAGCAAATTTGAAAGTGAAATTGTATAAGCAAAATGTCTCTGTCAGTCATCTGTTTTATGTGTTTCGACTGAGACGGGATGTGAACATGTGTACTTGATTGATTCAGTGGAATGAAAAGTGTGATAAACAATTTAAGTCTTGTTATGTGCTAGGGTGTTTCTGCCCAATACTGTTTTTGTATTGATGTCGATTTGAGCTTAGAATTTATTCGTTGAGCGACGACTCATCCTTCGTCACCATTTTTCCTCATATCAAGAGCAGAAGTAAGGTGTGTACTGTAGATATCGGGATTCAAGCTTGAAGGGAAGCCATGAGGTGGGCGGGGGACTCCGAACTCCTTAAATGTTTTATGTTGTGTGGATTTTGCAATAAAGCGGACTTCTCCGGATTTCTGTTTTGACTCTAATACAAATATAAATTATGGTTTGAAGTTTGAAGTTTGAAAAAAAATATATATATAAAGCTCGGGCCCGAGAATGTTTAAACTCGATGTATTTTACTACTTCGTTTTGTAATGTAAAGTAAGGGTGTTACATTTGGAATGCATTTAGCCACCACTTTATACCCTACGTTACACAGGCTAATTGTTCTAAAATGGTTCATCATGCTTGGGCGTCCACTTTGAGAATGAGAGCTAGCAGGGTCTCATTCTGAAGGAAGATACTGTCAGGGTCCCAAAAGCATCTCTGGATGAAAGTGAAGAGGTCCTGACCAACAGACTTCAAGCATCTTTGAAAGAACAGGGCATGAAACCCATCTTTGCCAGGAGCCTTCAACTCATTCATGTCTTTAACAATGCAGTGGATCTCCTCCAAGGTTGGTAGTCTTCTCAGTGGATCCAACATATGTCCTTCAAGAACTGAAAACAAGGCAGCAATGGTACACTGATTGTCCCTGGTGACTTTGGTAAAGAGCTGAACAAAGTGCTCCATAGCCATGTCCTGAAGCTTGTCTGGGTCAATAATCCATTCCCCTTCCTTATTCTGGAGACAGACAATCTTGTTTCTCTTCCTTCTAGTCAGCGTAATGGTGTGAAAGAACCTAGTGTTTTGGTCCCCATGGATTGTCCAGGTTGCTCTTGACTTTTGGTACAAGAGTATCTCCTCTTGCCAGAGAACATCCTCCAATTCCATTCTAGTGCTTCTTTCCTTCTCCAGAGAAGTAGAGGTAGGATTCCTCGCATTCAGGATTTCCAAGGACTTCAGTTCCTGAGCAAGCTTCCTCTTCCTTTTGAAATGTTACTGAAAACATCTTTATTCCAGCTTTGAAGTTTACTGGAAAGGTCCTGCAAGGCACAATGAAGAAGCTGGCCAGTACTCTAAGAGGACGAAACAAAAGGAAGAAATTCATCATGTGCAAGCTAGGGAGCAAGGAACTGGAAACGTCTCACCAGTTTAGAACTCGCTGGGGGTGATATTGTTGCACAGCAGGATCGGTCTATGGTCCGACTTCATCTTGATCAAATGGAAGACAGTAAGTTGGGGAAACTTGTGGTGTCATGCCATGTTGCATAGCCCTCTATCAAGTCTCTCTTTAAATCCTGATCCCCCTTTAAACCAGGTGAACTTCGGTCTAGTAAACCCAAGATCCATAAGGCCACAGTCTTCAATGAAATTCACAAAGGCCTTCACTTTAGCGAAGTTGAAATTTGCTCCTCCTTGCTTTTCAGTAGGCCTAGTAATAGAGTTAAAATCGCCAATCATCATCCAGGGGCAGAGGGTTCTGCGGCTGATGCCACGAAGATCCTCCCACAATTCCCCTCTAGCATGCTCGTTGGGGCTAGCATAGATGGCAGTCGGGGCACATGACTCTCCATTACTTGTAGAACACTCCAGGTGAATGTACTGCTTGTGAATCTGAGGGTTCCTCATTTGGACCTCACTTTTGTTCCACAGCAGCCAGATACCTCCACTGAATCCTGTAGAATCAGAAACTTCCCAAGAGTCAAACCCTAGTTTCTGGATGATGTCAATGGCATCCTTCCCGCTAACCCTGGGGTCAACAATGCAAACAACGTTTGGTTTAGGAACAGACTTATAAAAAACAAAAGTAGGACGAAACTTGAGGTGTCGAGCACCTTCTTCTGTATAACTAAACACATCCTAATTTTACAAATACCATAAATTTACTATTATCGTCATAACTTAATACCTAGTATTGCGAAATTATCCTTTATTAATCAAGGAAACTATAGCAAAACAAAAAGGCCTTCAAATTCCTTATCCCCTCTGTCACCTCATCTCCGCAAATTCCTTCGCCGGGAATCAATAACTTCTGCACATTCATCATTTTTAGAAGTTAATGAATAAGGAGTATATTAAGTGATTTATTTTCGAAAAACTCACAATGCGAGGTGATTGTCCATTAACTTAGCTCGGACCACATTTTTTTTTTTTTTGGTCAAATTAGTAGTAGCATTATGATTAGCTGGACGTTTACACGATGAGCGTGAGCGCATGATTTCAGTTTCATAGTACGTGACATCCATCCAGTCCTATCCCAAAAACAATAACGAGGGTTTAAACTAATTAATTCATCATTACTGCAAAAACACCGAATTAATCCACGCAAAATGACACCCCATTGGATAATACGCCACGTGAAGGCAAAATTTAAGACCCCGTTATCCCATGTCTGCCCCTAACATGTCGCTCACCATCACCCAGAGGCATTGAACTCAGAGACAGAACACAAAAAACAGAGTATCTTAAACGAAATTCTTTAAAGCAAGGTAGGAAGTTCGTGACTCGAATTGATAACTCTTATCAAGTAAAATAATCATAATAAGTAATAACTTATCACCGCCGAACTGCAGAGGAGGCAAGCTTGGCGACAATTAAGGCAGTCAATCCGGCCACAATTAGGAATGGCAATGGGTCCAGAACAGGCCGGGTATCATGGTACCCGGGCCCGCCCCGTGATTTGTACATTTGCCCCGACCTGGCCCACGCCCTGCCACGGGTTTCTAATTTTCGGCCCATGACCTGGCCTGCACGGGGCGGGTTTTACCCGACCTGCCCTGCCATAGCCATTTCCTGTATATCACCGTACAACGTAGCAAACAAAGCTGACAGCCTAATTGAAGATTAAATAACAATTCAAAGCAAGCTAATAATAATCTGGTAACCATCATCATCATAGTGCAGAGTTCAAAATCTCAAACCACAAATCAAACGTCTCCCTTTGAAATCCAAAAGTATAGAAATACTTTGGATTAGTACTTGTTCATAATCAAACAAAAAAGAAAAGGCACAAGGCAAATATCACTGCTGGTGTATGCTGAAATCACCACTGTAACCTTGCGTTTGGGACATCTTTCATAATGCTTCTTAAGATGGCTTGTCCCTTGCTTCGGATCTCCAAGAACTAACCGATTGCAATATTTGCATTGAGCCTTCTTTTTCTTGTTAACTTCTACTTTGGTGTAATGAGCCCACCATTCAGAATACACTTTTCCTTCATTACCACCTTTGGCATCAGTGCCCTGCTCACCACCACCATTGTTGTTGACTCCATTTCCAGGCTCATTTTGAACCTGAGTGTCAATTGCAACAGGTGTGTCTTCTGGTGCAGCATTGGAGTTGGGGCAAGGTTGAATGGGAGAAGCATCATTTGCATTATGATTCAAGACACAGTTTTCTTGATCCATTGATGGAAAAGCCTACATAAGAACAATATAGTATAAGAACATTGCAGCAACAAGCCAACAACCATTCAATAGAATAAAAAAGAGCTGAAAGAAAGAAGCAAAGAAACCGTATATAAAAGAGAAATCCTAAAATACAGGGCAAGCAAGCAGATAGCTTAAGCATCCATATACCTATTATAATATATTGATTCTTTCACGTTGATAAAAGGGCAAACAAGCTATCAAAGCCACAAAGAAATTTTCACGTAAATCTAGTGGCCAATCTAAAGGAAGAAGTAACCCCATTGGACTAAGAACAATTCAACAAAAGATTCTAGAAGAAGTCTGCAACTTTCCAGCAAAATCCATCAATTTTATTTTGTTGGGAACAGTTCTGCATCTGGGTTAAAAGACAGAAGTTAGGCACCACAGTATGCACCACCAGCTAGTTGAATTTTGGCGAAGAGAGCTAGAGCTGCCTGCAATGGAGTCGATTATTACCTTGGATGAATCGACCAATAGTTGAATCGATCGATTGCTTGATTTGGTGGCAGCAGGAGGAGGTGTTGATTGATGATGGTCGCTGGATCATTCGGTTTGGAGTTATGGAGAAAAAGAGATGGAAAACTAAAAGATTCATCTTCCGTTCCTCTATTTAACCCTAATAAATCTCTCTTGTCTTGGAATTGAAAGTTAGATTGATGGAGAACAGAAGACGAGGAGACGGGATGAATTGCGATTTCTGAAATGGGAGAGGCCAGCGTGGGGGTGAGAAGTCGAGGAGATGGCTGGGGGTACTGAGGAGTAGGGAGACGAGACTCTGATGGTGAACGGAGGATTCAGGTCCTATCTGAAAGATGCGGGGCGGGGCGGGGACAGGTCGGGCTGACCACGATACCCATGCCTGACCTGGCCTGCAGCAGGTCGGGGCAAGACCCGCCCCGTTCAACAACGGGTCGGATAGGACCTGGCCCAAAACGGGATGGGCCGGGCCAAACCCGTCGGGCCGGGCCAGTTTTGCCATTCCTAGCCACAATCCATGTGACTTCATTTCACTCCCTCTTCCTCCTTATTACTTCTCACCACCATTCCCTCCACAAATCAACCCTCCTTCCCCATTCCCATGGCTTCTTCAATCCTTCCAGTCCTCCTACTCTTCCTCGGTCTCTCCATCTTCATGTCCCTGAGTAACGCGAGCAAAGTAATAGTGATGGACGCGATGCAATGGCAGCAACCCTCATCACCATCATCATCAGCAGCAGCAGCAATGTCTCTCTACGACGACGGCGACGGAGACGGTGAAAGTGATGAAGGGTTTGGTGAGGAGAGGAGATCTCTGTACTGGAGCTCCGGCGGCGGAGGAAGTCGGTACCACATATCGTACGGGGCGCTGTCGGCGAACAGAGTCCCCTGCCCACCGCGCTCTGGAAGGTCTTACTATACCAATAACTGTCATACCACGAAGCAGCCTGCTAACCCTTATCAGCGCGGCTGCTCTTGCATCGTCCACTGCAGGAGATAGCTTCTATTGGCTACCTGTCTTTTTTGCTTTTAACCTTGTTAATTTTAGCTTCCATGATAACTGCTGCACTACTGTGCAGTTTGGTTAATTTTTCTCTGGTGACGCTGAATGTGTTCGTTCCTTTTGCTGCTCTTGAATCTGTATTTGTAGCTCGAAAGGGTAGACAGTGATTGGTGGCTAATTTGAGATTGGATATCATGAATGCAGAGCTTACACCTAATTGTTGGTTGGTGCAATTGAAAGTATTTTTAAGGCAAATTCTAAGCTGGCTTCTTCTTCATAGGCAGGTAGCCAGATACCAACCCAAGTTGTTCTCCATATTAATTTAATGACAACTATTCCTGCGTTATTTTTGAAAGTTGTAGTTTACAGAGCTCATCCAATTCAACATCATGGCTCATTGGAACGGTCCAGGCCTAGCTAAGGCTCAAATTTGGGCCCAATTGGGTTTTATCGTCATCTTTCAACTCAAGAAATCTCTTCAAACTGCTACAATTTGATATTGGGTTTAAAACTAACAATTTCGATCTGATTTGTTTTATTCGATTTGTTTAATTTGTTTCGAGCGAGTAAACCCAGTTCGTAAGTGGGAGGCGGACATGGGTATTCTCCTCGACATGTCGTGCCCTATCTCATTTCATTCTCATCCGATTTTGTTTAAATTACTTGTAATTTTTTACTCAAATTACTTAGTATTTTACTTTATTAATTACCTCATATATTAGATATAATTAAATTTAAATAAGTTAGAACCTCAACTTCTCAAATAATTTAACTACATTTAGTATATTATAGTTTGTTTATTGGCTTTCTAATGAAAAATGAACATTCCTAAGAAATTTCTTTTAAATTACATATCCATATGGTTTGACATGCCCAATCAGAACCCTATAATAAATTATCCGACCTACCACAATATCTATACCCCGCTCCGGACCTGTCTCATTGCCATTGTTACTCATGGAAACCTTCGACTAAATACTACAAATGCAAAAAGATGATATAAGTGTTATTTTGATGTCGGATATTAATTTGACATTGTGTATATCATAAAAATATAAATTCAAGCAAAATTTTAGTAGTCATGTTTGTTATGGGACAATCCAAGTACCACATTGGTAATACAAGGGAAGGAACCCTTGTATATTAGTGTCCATCAAGCCCAACTAGTACGAGGCCTTTTGGGAAGGATACCCAAGAGTAAAACTGTCCGGGCTTAGCCCAAAGCGGACAATATCGTACTAATTGAGATGTCCGATTACGACAAGTGGTATCAGAGCCTGGTTCGGTTCGGGACGGTGGACGTAAGTTTGGTGGGACCCTCATTCGGTGACCTCGGGATTTGAGATGTGCGTCTGGTTTGGTGGATCCACAAGAGATCCATGTATGTTTGGCGGATCAAAGAGAGTTTCACGTCTAGAAAAAATACTCGTACCAAGAGCCCATCGGTACAAGGTGTCTGGCAGATCAAGATAATTGCTGAGGAGATGACACGATGTTCGCAGTCTTTGGCTTGAGGGGGGATTGTTAGGGTACAATCCGAGTTCCACATCGGTTATATAAGGGAAGGAACCCTTGTATATAAGTATCCACCTAGCCCAATTAGTACGAGACATTTTTGAGGAGGATACACAATAGTAAATCCGTGCGAGTTTGACCCAAAGCGGACAAGCCCAGTTTCGACAATGTTGTTCCTCAATGTCATTTTATCTACTTAAGAAAGCTTATCAAATATATGTTTCTTCTTCATTGTACATCTTAGCTCAAAGACATTTTATATGTCATTTTCTCTAACAGACTCGTTTTTTTATTTTCTCCTAACCCATCGGTCTCAAGCCTTGACTCGTAAGGTTCTTACCAGAAAGTAGAAACCCTTACGACGAGCTCATCCTTCATCTTGGTTGTACTCCGCAGTACACTTTAACTTTGCCAGAAATGGTATGAATTTGTCTTGAACACGAACAGGGGATGTGAAAAGTGGTTCGGCGAAGGTGCTGAAAGTTGAAGAGAGCGAATGCATGTGGAGGTGGGCAGGCAAGAAAGGAACCTAGCTAGGAGAATCTGGCCCTGGCGCACAAATTGTATAATAAGACAATGGGCTACAATTATTATTACTATAATGAGACAGCGGGTCTTATGATAATGGAAGGTAATAATTTTCACCTTAAATTAACGGACTTTCCTCATCGGTAAGTCATATATGACACATAACTTTCGAATTGGAGTTTCTACTTTTATATCAGAAAAATATTTTTCAAATAATTTGAACCCGGCGCAGAAAAATATTTCTCCATTTGCTAGTTGCGAAATGGGATTTAGCTTAAGTTTGGGCCAGACAAGAAATACGACGGCATATGAGTCCTATTTCCACCGGCGCGGATGCCTTGATTGTCGGTTAAGTCAAAGAAAGATTATACATTTTCATGTATCCCAACTCACATAGACCGACAACTTGATTCCCCTCTCACATGCCTAAAATGCACCAATGATTCACAAATCACAGTAGAAGACAGAAGATTCACAACAGAAGACAGAAGGTGGTTTGCCCTATGCGTAGGAAAAAAAAAAAAAAAGAGATTAGTTGAATGATCATGTATATAGATGCCTAATAGTACTGTAACAAGTATATTTCAATGCACGATGAAATCAAAACACCCTAATGTAGGAAGGAAGGTTAGTAGTTTTAGGGCTGGGATATCAGTTTCGATTTTTCAGTTTGAACCAAAAATCGAACCAGTAAGGACCATGTTGGTTTTAGATTTTCGATCTCAAATGGGTTCGTATCTTATCAGTTTTGGTTCAAACCGAAGCGGTAAGAATTCAAAACATGAATCAATAGTTTAGGGGTGTAGGGTTTCGGTTTTAATTGGGGGCGTATGATTTCGGTTTGTTCTAATCGAAACGACACTTGATAAGGTCTTCTCATATTTCGATTAAACCGAAATCAATAAGCCCTTAACATATTCGATTTCGATTTTGGATAACCATCCCAGTTCCTTTTTTATTTTTGTAATGGTTTCGGTTCGGTTAACCCAACAGCACCTCTAGGTTATAGTTTAATGCATACATGGGCAGCTGGCGCATATCAAGTCTACCAAATGAAAACAAAGATAATGCGTGCAAAATCAAGTTTGATTATGGTTTGCCGCTTTTTCTTTATCCCCCAATATTATACAGTTTCCTTTCCTGTGCGAGACAGCAAATCATCAATGAAAGCTCAGTTGGAAACCAAGTGCTTTCTTTTTCGGCTATTTATTTGTCAGAAATGCAGCGGCGAATTGATAAAAATGGTGGATGTTCCATAATATTATTATGTGACAGCTAAAGACAAACTATGAAGAAATTGTGGGAAATATATTTACGTAAATAAAATGTAATTACTGGTTATACAAAATTATTTTTTTTTTCATGAATTTTACGTGAATATATTTATAGGACAAGTAGATAGTAGAAATAAATCAAATTTAGAAAGAATAAAGTACTTTTTTTTTTTGTGTATGATTACTCGCACAAGTCACTCTTCTTCGGGCAGCCGGGCAGCACCCTCCAAAAGCCAAAAGTCCAACTCCGCGTTTTCCCTCACTGCCTGCCCGTCCAGCTCAGAACACCTGCCCCGTGAGCTGTCATCTCATCATTCTCACTTACTCCCTTCAACTAATCCCACAACAAAAGAATTAAACTAATCACGATTTGCCAAATTACAAAACGGTCCCTCAACTCTTCCACAGTCCCTCTCAGATCCTCAAAATCAATCGTAAGTGCAGGCATGCTTGAGCGAGATCGTGGCGTTGGCCTTGTTCGGATTGAACGTAATGTCGCACCCGATCGTCTTGTAGAATCTCGGCTTCACCAATTTCCCCAGAACGTAAGCTCTAGATCGGACGGTGAAGTTCAGCGTCAGGTGGACCGGCAGCAAGGGTTTTCCGGTGGCCGTGCTGCTCAGCCCTGCTCCGCTGCCGTACATCGGGATCTTGTCGCTCGCGATGGATATCGACACCGACCTCTGGCTGCTCCTCTTCTGATAAAACCGCTTGATCTGCGGAAATTCACAGATTCAGATACCTAATTATGAGAATTTGGGGATTGGAAGAGTTTAGAAGAGGGATTATGAGATTCTCACCGTTCCCGTGGCGATTGCGAGCTGTGAGTAAGTCAGATCCAGAGGCGTCGAGGTCACGTGAACGCCGAAGAAGGTTCCGGTGTTGCGGTAGATCATTCTCACGGTGGAGTTGACGGTGATCATATCGGTAGCTACTCCGGAGGCGTCGGAGCCGGCTTGGATGTTGAAACGCTCGAACTTAATGCTCTGCAACAATAGTTAAGCCAGAATTGAGCTCAATTGGAAAATTACGACTCTGGATTTGGGGGAAATTCCGAAATTGAAGTAAGATTCGAGCTCCGTACCTTCATTGTGATCTTGGGCTTTTGGGGCCTGCTAGCTCCCCAGAGAATCAGAGAGAAGAAAGAGAAGAGGACGAAGAACCCCAGAACAAAAGCAAGGACGTAGCAGCGGCGGGGGATTCCCCTGCGGCGCTCTTCGTCTTCGAGCAGGCCTTCTTCCTCAATCACATCGACTTCTTTCCACTGCTTCTGGTTCCCTTTCCGATGCCCGCCGCCTCTGGAGGCGTCGTTGGGGGAGATCTTCCTAGATCCGGGCTTGAGGGAGCCGGAGAAGCGGGTGGAGGAGGATTCCCGGGAGTGGTGGCCGACGGAGGAGTGGGAGTGGGGTGGGGAGGCAACGGGGCTGAGGACCGGGGTGGAGTGGAAGGAAGTGGTGGTCTTCTCGCCGTCGTGGGAGTCGCGGGAGGGGGACTGGACGAAGTAGGCCGGGCGGCGGGGGGATCTGGTCGGCGACGACGGCGCCAGGCTGGTCACCTCGGAGTCGGTCTTGGCGTGCATTTTTTGGGTTATTGGAGGGAATGGGAGTGAGTGGGAAAAGCTGAGAGGAGAGGAGCTTGCTTCAAGCGAAGGAAGAAGAAAAAGGCGTTTTATGGGAATGG